ATTATGAGGCTGAAAAAGATGTTAGTTTAACATTAACAAAAACAATAAATGAATGGAAACGTTTAATAATGATAAATGATAGTTTAAATATAACACAATTACAATTAAATAAATCACATATACATTGGATAAGCAATGGTCGATTACCAGTAAGAATATTACTTTAGGTACAAAATCTGAACGTTAATCTTCAAATTATTTTTCTAACTAATATACAATTTCGCTATTTCACGTTTTACTTGACAATTATTTTCTTTTTATTGTACGTCATTTGTGTACGATCTCTCAAAAAACTTCATACACTCGGACTAAAACTAGAGATACTTGAGGAAGATATCTAAAAGATATTTTGGAGAAGTTATTTTTTAAAAGATTTCGTTGCCCCACTTGCAGTAAAAACACTGAAAAACCTCTAAAAATCAAAAGTTTCTCATTTTTACAAGCCATATAATTCAAGAAGGAAATATTTTAAAAAAATAACTTCTCTAAAACATCTCTGCATATATGTTCTTCAAGTATTTCTAGTAAAAGTTTAAGATAAATTTTTTGAGAGATCGTAGATGTAATACAAATGAAAAATCTGATTTTCTAGAAAAATGGGTAATAATAAAAATGAGAGAAAAAGAGAAGATTACTCTTAAATGTACCAACTTATTTATTCTACCTGTATAATCGAACTTTTTAATTCTGTCACTTTTTGATTTGTTTCTTTCACCATTTCGTTTATATGAATACTTTGATTATTTAAATTATCAATAAGACTATCTAATGTTTTAATATCCACTATTTGTGTAGCAAAAGATCTAAATAGAATTATAATAAATTAATTAGTTATAAATTTCTAGAATAAAGAATAAATATATTATTTTCTACCTAACATAAGTGACTAAATCATTTTCTAAATTTTTTGCACGATCTAATTTATAGGTGGCATCACGAATTTTTTCATTTTCATTATCGGTTTGTTGACTAATTCGTGTTGATTCAACTAATTTTAATATATCACTAGTTAAAGTTTCTAATGTCGATTGTGTTATTGTTATTTTCATATTTAAAATATTTTTAATTATTTCTTGAATATCTGATGGTTTAGTATTTTTTAATAAATCTTCTAATATTTGTATTTGTATATGTGATTTATTTAATTGTAATTGTGTTATATTTAAACTATCATTTATCATTATTAAACGTTTCCATTCATTTATTGTTTTTGTTAATGTTAAACTAACATCTTTTTCAGCCTCATAATATCGTGTATAAATTAAATTTGTTTCATTTTGTTTTTTTTCTATAATTTGTTGAGTATCATTAATTTCAATTAATAAATTATTTAAAATACCGTGTACACTTGACGAACATTTTATTGATGAACTATTAGTACAGCGTGATAAATCATCGCATCCTTCGCCGCCACATACATCACAGACATCATTATTTCCATGATTACCACATAGCACTTCACTAACGTTACCCTTGAAATAAAATAAACATCTATTTTTTCAAACAATGAAGAATTTGATCAATAGTCTTTTGTTTTTTACCTTGTTTCGCAGCTACCCCAGTCAAAATTCTAGATAAATTCTATAAAATCCTAGAACTTTTCGGTCACCCGGATTCAGTTAAGATCCTATTAAGATCCTGATAGGGTTGTCTAGGATTTTGACTAGGGTATAGCAAAGTTATAAAGCTGCAGCTCGAGCCGAGGTCAAGCTTTTAGTAAAATCGACAATTTAAAAACGCACAACATTCAAACCTAGTGACAGGCACTTCTCTATCAACGCCTCATCTGATCAAGATGGTTTCTTTGGACTTTATGTTTGTTATATTATGTAGAGGTGCTCTTTCTGCGGACGAAACTTTGTACAAGTTACGGTTTGGGAGATATATCGGAAATAGTGTTTTTGTCTATATACTGACCACTCTATTTATCATCCTAGTTACAGGCGCACAAATGATAATTAAACAATCGTCGATATATGATGATTACTACACTAGGTGATTCATCATTAAGTAAAAACTGTTCTCTGTGCTGTGTGTTGGTATGTGTAGAACATTATATGTGCAGATATAATGGATTTCTTCTCTATATCTAATGTAAATCATAAACTGTTATTCGGTTATGATAAAGGCATATTTAGGAAATATTTTGATTAATGCATATCTACTTATATTTATTTACTCAAATTTTTAACCACACATAAAATATTCAGTAGTTTTTTATACCATCTGAATACTGTTGTAAGAAATTGTTTCATGATAACCATTGCAAAGAAGTTGACGTAGAAACTTTATCCAAACTTTTTCAGCTGATCAAACAAATACTCTGAGTGAAATAATTGTACATCTAACTACCGAAACTGCTCAAAATATACCTAGAAAAATTCAAAATCTAGAGAATTTCTTCACTAGAAAATCGCACATTTCTGTGAGACAGAGACAAATCTACCAAGATCTTATTATCTTACTTTATTAACATATTGATCATTTATATTATGATAAACTTGAGTTAAATTTGTCACTTGTTCTTGAAGTTTTTGATTTTGAAAATAAATTTTTTCATTATTTAATGTTTGATTTAATCGTTGTAAATAATGTAAATTTTGTTCAATTTTAATTAATAATTGATTTAATTCCTCTTTAATATGTTTCATTTGTAATTCAATATTTTTTGCACTAACACCAGCTGATTGTAAATCAGCATGTTTTAAACGATCATATTGTATTTTGTAGACACTTATTAAAGAATATGTTTCTTTAATAACATTACTCATACGTGTAACATCTTCTTCAAAACGAAAACGTTTTGATTGATCTTGAAAATTTGGTATAAATTCATTATTTAAAGATTTTGATAATTTAATAAGACGTTCATTTAATTGAAAATATTTTTGTTTATAGGGTTCAAGTTCATATTCTGTATATTTTAATCCGAGTGTATTTTGAATAGAATCTAATAATGTTTCCGTTTGTTGAAATAAATTACCATTTGTTATCGATTCAATTTGACGAATTTCAACCGAATGTAAACGATCAACATATACATTCACTTTATCTAAATAACAATCAATCTTTTTTAAACATCAGCTGCAATACACGTTAGTTCAAGTATTGATTACCAGTTAAATTTCCAATAATATTATCCCACTTGCTAAAACATTGTCCACAATTTGTACAATAGGGTACAAGTCCATATAAACCTCTTGCGCATCGATCACAATATTTTCCTGTTACACCTGTTTTACACAAGCATTGTCCTGTAACAGCATCACATTGTGAATTAATTGAACCATCATTTGAACATTGACATGGATTACAATCAATGTTGGGATTAAGTGGATCACCGTAGGTGCCTGGAGGACATTGATCACATCGTAGACCACCTCTATTATATTTACACAGACATTGACCAGTAAATTTATCACATATCATGCCCGTTGATCCATCAATATCACAATTACATGATGAACAGTGGCCTCTACCCAGACCCCAGTAACCATCACGACATTGTGAGCATCGACGAACAATGCCATCACCCAAATTACTATCGATAACATTATCTTTACATACACAATCACCTGTTTTACTGTTACAATTGTTATCAAGACCACCAATTCCACAATCACACGGTTGACATTTATCTACACCTAATGGATCACCATAATATCCTTGACGACATTGTTCACAGTAACGACCACCAGTGTTGTACAAACATTTCAAACATGCGCCAGTACGTCTATCACAACTATCAGGATCATCAACATTTACTAAAATATGGCGTCAACTACTGATGATAGGTAGAAAAAGATTTATCTTCAGTTCTTACCGTTATTATTACATTCGCATGGTTGACATCGACCACCTTGATCAGTTGGATTTCCATAATAAGCAATAGCACATCGGGTACATTTTTGACCGGTATAGCCTGCTCTACAGCGGCATACAACTTGTTGTGTATACGGATCATGAACACACGAATCACCAAATTGTTGCGATGATCCGGGACCTCCCGGACAGTAACAGGGTCTGCATATTTGTGCTAAGCCAAGTCGTGCATCTCCATAGTATCCATCGGCGCAACGCTCACAATGGTCACCAGCTGTTGAATCTCGACAATCGATACATACACCATTTTTATCACATAATTCTGAATGGCCATGACATTCACATCGCTGACAATTTGGAAAATTCCAATAGCCAGGTGAACAGTCACCACAATCTCGTCCGTGTGCATTCGGACGACAATGACATGCGCCCGTTGTCACATCACAAAGATTATTCAATGCACCGGTATTGTGACAATTACATTTTGTACAACCTTCTGAACTAAATCGATATGAACCGGGCATACACATGTTACATTTAAGACCGATAACATGGGGTTTACATTGACATTGACCACCAATCGGATCACAGAGGCTACCTACGGAACCAGTTGTATCACAATCACATGCTAGAAGCAAGAAAGAACTGATGAAAATCATCATATATCAACAATTCATACTTACGTAGTGTTCGACCAAGCATCAAAGCACTAATACCACAAATTACTTTTCGACAAACTTCTGGTAATTCGACTGTGTTTGTTATTGTTAATGCCAGTTCTTTACACTGTTGAGCTTCAAAATCGCTGAGTAATAGAGGCTGTTTGACAAATTCCTCTAGTTTTTCAATATGTGGAATTAATACAATCTAAAAGTATCTTTTTTGTATTTTATTCATGAAATAAAGGAATCATTTTCATTATACATACTGAGTCAATGCTAACAACTGGATCACGCTCACTTTTTCCATGACCATATTGACGAAGTTGAAGTTGTATTTTATAATGTTCATTTTCATTCAAACACAATGGTTTCTCAAGTTTTTCGAACAATTTTTCTAGAATATTTTGGTTGTGGTATTAAGAAACAATTATCGCGTCGTTTTCCAGACATTCTTACTTGCTGGTAATTTGGTTGTGGCTGTTTGTTCATAGTTTGTTCCACAAAAATCATTTGTTGATTGCGTACGATTTTGACTGATAACTAAGATTCTTGCATCTTCCCATGTTTCGGTCTTTGGAAAAAAAGGCAACAAAAACGTAACTAAACAACTATTCTGACTTTTTTAACGTACGGCTGGTAAATATCGAATAATAAGATCATAGTAACCCGTTCTCACGGTATGATAAACATCGAATTCAATTGTACCACCTTCGTATATACGAACAATGCTAGTGCCAGTCCATGTTCGGTATTCGTTGGGATTATCATAAGAAAATATAACGGCTTTCTAGAAAATAACATACATCACTTGTAAAAACTGAAAAATCCATTAAAATGACGAACTTTTTCATCAATTTTAGCTAACTCAGCTTCATATGTAAAATATTGTAATCCAGCACAATATGTTCCCGTTATGGGTGTATCACATTGTCTTCCATTCATTCCTTCTCGACATGGACATTGGCCAGTCTGAATATCACACTGTGAACTATACGATCCACCTGGATAACAATCACATGGTTTACAACCATCGACCTCATCATTATTTAAACCATAATAATTTTCTTGACATTGATCACATCTTCGACCAATAACATTTTGTTTACATTGGCATAAACCCGAAATTGTATCGCATTGTTTATCAACAATACCCAATGAATGACAATCACAAGCTAGAAATCATCGTTGTAAATGATAATGAAGATCAAGTCATTGACATGAAACGAACCTTGACACCCTTGTGGATTGTTGTAATCCAAATTATAATACCCTGCTTTACATTTATCGCAGCGTGTTCCTTCAACATTGTCTTTACATATGCATTGCCCAGCATGTAAATTATGATGTTGATCATCATGCTGAACGCAACTACCTTTGTTACGTGTACCATAGACATCACAATGACAAGCTAAACAAAAAAATACTGTCTAATGTTAGAATTACTTCTAAGAGATTAAATTCAAACGTACGTTTACAAACATGTGGATCTGTTATAGGTAATTGTGAATCTTTATAAAATAAATCTTTACAATATTCACATTTTGCTCCAATTGTATTATGTTCACATTCTTCACAAATGCCACCACTCGTATAATTTGTTTGTGCATAACGTGTTGGATCAAATCGACATTGTTTAGCATGACCATGACATTCACATAGACGACACGGATTTGATTGACCAGTACGAGCAGGGCGCCATGGACGATCATTGTATAAATCCAAACATCGTTCACAGTTCATACCCTTTGTATTATGAGTGCATTCACATTTACCATGAACCTAATACAATTAGATACAGTGTGTACCAGTGATACAAAATTTTTTATTTTCTACCTTTCCAGGTATTGTTATATTCGATGGTAACTCTTCATCAGTTTGTACACAACGCTTAGCATGTCCATAACATGAACAACTACCGCGAACAACCATTTCATGAATAGCATAATAATATTTTGGCGTTGTTTCTTGTCGTGTATCCAAAAAATTATCGCCCAGTGTATGCAGTTTAGTAAAATTAATTCGTAAATTCGTTATTTTAATTAGTTCTTGAACACCATGAGAATATGGATCACGTTTTCCTAACATACTTGGTGATAAAACACGAAATATCACCTAAATTAAGAGAAATATAAATCTGTTTTAAAAAGAAGCAATAACATAATTGCATTTACCTCTCCTCCTGTGGATGGTGTTTCATCTGAGTATCTACTTTCGCAATAGACTTGATCAATATTATTTGGTAATTCTGTTGATATATACGGAAACATTGTTCGACATGTTGACGAAAAATAAGCGTATGTTCGCCATGTTTTACCATAATCGGAACTTTTCTCAATAATCATTCCTTTTGGACGAAACGTACGAAATTTCATAATTAAATGGGTGAAAACAAATTCTGCCTCTAAATTCAGTTGTATATAAACTTGTTCTACATCGTTTTCTGCTTGCCACCATGTCAACCGAGGATCTTGCCCATACTTTGTGACAATATTTTCAATTGTATGACTTTTATTCGTTACTTTAATATCACAGACGTTACATGAGACATTTTTTGTATTACCAATAATACAATAGCGTTCTGGTTGTTTTAATCCGCAAGTGGAATTTGAATATAAATTTTTTTCTCTACCAATTAATAAATCTCCTGTTTCTGGATAACATCCACCATAGTCACAATCTGGTTGTAGCATACTAAGAGGACGACGAGTTGTGGGACGACGACGACGAATAGAACCGTTTAATGGTCGACTATGTCTTCTACCAGACAGCAAAGTTGTATAAGCGAAATTTCTCGATGATAGTTTTGTAGTAATTAGCGTACTTTCAGTATTAGTTAGTGTTATGCTATGTGCTGTACTTGTTAGTGATGTACGATTTGAATCCGAAGCGGGTTGAGCGTATACTAAAGAAACAAAAGAAAGATATTGTAGTGTATATCAGAACTACTCTGAGAAGAATCGTTTGCTGACTGAAGACTATTTTTCATCTTTTGACCATAAAACTCCTTTAGTAGTTAGTTTTGAGCTTGCGATCAATTCATCTTTTGACTAATTGGCATTAAGCCCAATTATTGCAGTGTCCAGATATCCGCGGCTACTACACAATAACTAAATCTAGTTTGAACTAGTTCAATCTAAGATTGGTCTGGAAAAGTCAAGCTGAAGTTTTAATGTTGATCCGACTTTTGACTATGTCAAACTAACATCTGAAAATGCATGCAGTCCAAGCTGGAATGTTCGAATAGTCTGATTCCGTCAGTCTCACATTGTTTCGAGATTAGTCACTAACAAGTATGTTCAAGTATGTTCTCTTACCTTTGATGAGTAAAGCATGAATAGTTGTTATCAGTACAATTATAATCTTTGTTTTGTTCACCATTTCGTCTGGTTTTGTTGTTAAACGAACGCACAGATACTATAGTTGATGGATGCGTGTATCGTTACTTTAACGTTAGATCAACAGAATCGAATCTAATAGAACGTCAAATTATCAATATACACGGTGGAATACAAGTGCGGAATTTGTTAATCATTTATTATTGTAAACTAGACGATAGATGAAGTGGCACTATCTGAGTTTCTTTTTATCATCTGCAATACCAAATTAAATTAAAAACAATTATTTAACTAAAAGTTTAATCAATCGAACTAATACTTGTGCAAGCTGTTTTGTCTTTATTTATCTCACCCAATAGTGCGATGATTATTACAACTCTACATACATATTGATTTGAGTCATAGTTGCGTGTGTATTCACACAACATTTGGTTTGGGAGCAACCATGATGTTATCTCGTTGTATATTCATGGTGTATATACGTTCAATGTGATATACACCCGTCGCAGGTCAAAAAAAGAAGAAAAAAAAATATTCTGTATGTTGGTATATACAACATTTTTTCTTTTCTTTGTATTTATTCTTTTGTCCGAGTTCTCCACACGCATCAACGCGAATTATAATTGATGATAAAATAAGAATAAATGTAACTTCTCTTTCTCGCTGTCTCCTTTTGAACTTACATAAGAATTGAATATCACGCGTAGTACATTGTAGATATCTATATGGACTACAATATAAGGGGTTCTATTGTGCACTTTGTATCTCAGAAAAAATTGTGAAGTTCAATAACCTCCGTTTGAGTATTGTTGTTTTTTTAAATAGATAAACAAAACTTTACATATTTTATTTCAAATATATTGTACAAAATATTATTATGTTAAATAGAGTAAAACATTGATTTACTTTGAATTAGCTTTTACTAGAATACGCAGTATTTCATCGAAATACTTGTACATTACTATTATTCTAAGAAGTCGTTTTCTGTTTTTGAATAACATTACGAAAATTTCGTCATACCATGTAACTAGAACAAGAACATAGTGGGCAATGATACACACAAATAGATTTCGTCATCGAAACAGATTTTTGGATCCAGATCAATCTGATATTTGGAATGTACGTTAAGAATGGCAACTAATAATACATCCATGTACAATCTACATTTTCCAATTAAATAAAATAAGTTTTTTCAATAAAACCTATGATATTTGGAATGAGTTGGGCAAACTTCATCAAATCATGTGTAAAATAATAGTTTTTCTTGCAATACAATTGGCAATCCTCATCAGATAATTTTTTAAACAATTTTTGAAATTTTGACTTTTCAACCATTTCATGACTGTGCAACACAAAATATCAGAAATGTAAGATGAAGAAAAAAATTTATGGCATCGGATAGTCTTAAGTTGAATACATATCTTTTAAATAAAAGCTTTTCTATATCAATATCTAAAAAGAAATCTTTTCATAACTTTGTAGATTTTTTGAGTGATTTTGGTGAATGATAAAATTGCCATACTTAACGTATTCTAGAAAAAGAATAATAAAAAAATGAATTTTAAGACAAATGTTTTAATAAAGTATGCGTATGTGTTCAAAAAAAATAAAAAATCTCACTTGGATAATTCTCACTTAAATTACATGTTCATTTTAAGAAATCCACATTGTTTGACAATATAATAATATAAAACCAACATTTTTCGTTACTTAGCATGAAAATCATCATAACTGATTCCCGGTACGGATATCTACATTTCTTTTATTCGATTCTTATAAAATTTCGGAAAACGATTCAGTGCTGATCGGGCGTGCCGTGCTGTATCCTTTTTAAAAGGATATCTCCAATTCATATTTCGACTTACTAATAATCATTCACATATTACGCAAAAGTTAAAGAGTGTACGTACATATTCATAATATTTCTTAAAGTGATAAGCTTCTCAAAAGTGTTATCAAAAATGCTCAAGCAAACTGATGCCAATAACGAAACTTTAGAGTACTTTTAGTTTTAAGTATTTATTCTAACCGATAGTAGGATATTTAAAGAACGGTTACCAGCAACATTCAATAAGAAAATAATCTGTTTTCGATTGATTGATTGATTTTTATGTGACAGCAGAGGAGATAACAAAGAAGAAGAAAAATAGAATGTTGCAAGGATAATAAAAAAGCGCGAAGGTGCCCTTATAATTACTGTTAACGACAAATAAAAACAAAAAGTAAAAAGAACAACTAACGAGGGAACCTCCTTAACTGATCAATTGCTTTTTTCACCAAACCTAGTGGGTTATAGGTTATCGATCACGCTGATTCCGAATATCCATATGAGACGAGCCGCTAGGCCTTTCTAGAGCGATTTTCTGGAAAACCAGTTTTTCAGAAACTCTAAAAAATAACCGAAACCTTTCTTAATGAGGCATAATTGTAGACTGCAAATTTCCGATTAAAATGAGACGTCTTCCAGCTCTACACAGCCTTTCTTTGCAAAATTATAGAATTTACAAGAAAAGCCATAAATTAATTTTTCCTTCTTATTTCTGTAGCTTTGAGCTGACAATGAACGTTGAGGGCTTTTCCTGTCAATTTTATAACTTTGTAAAGAAAGGTCGTATGGAGCTGGAAGACGTCACATTTTAATCAGAAATTTGGGGTTTACAATCATAACTTATTCAGAAAAGTTTTTGTTACTTTTTAGAGTTTTAGGGAAAACTAGTTTTCCAGAAAATCGCTCTAGGAAGGCATAGCGGCCGTCTCATATGGATATTCGGAATCAGCGTGGTCGATAACCTACAACCCACTAGGTTTGGTAAAAAAAGTGATTGAACAGTTAGGAAGATTCCCTCGTAAGGGGTAAAGAAGAAAAAAAAATACAAGAAATACTTTAGGTTTTCCTTAAACGACCTGAATGATAGTGGAGTCACAACTTCATCAGGTAGCCCATTCCACTCTATTGTCGTACGATAGAAGAATGAATACATTGTCGTGTACGTCCGTGTATTTTCGTTAACATATACAGCTCAAGAATGATTTAACCTGTCAGATCGTCTGTTTGTATTAAATTGAATTAGATTCGTGTGCGACAGGACTGAATGGTTGTTTAAAACTTTATAGAAATGAAGTAAACGGAAGTATTTTCTTATTTTATATAAATCAGGTAAATTAAGTTTTTGCAATAGTAAAGACACAGAACTATCAAACTTTAAGTATGATTCTGGCAGCTAATTTAATTACAGAATCAATACGCAAATTTTGGTGAGGAAATTTAGTATCGTAAACAATTGAGCAGTAGTTTAATTTACTCAAAATACATGTCTCGAATATTGATAGGCGAACAAGGGAATCTTAAAACACCGATATAAGGCTCCAAATCTCCTACGATACGCAATAGACTTTTTATACATTTCGCGAGAACGAAGATAAAAAAACCTGGATAAAGTTATTGTTACGCCATACAATTTAGATTTGCTTAATTATTTTTCAAAGTTCTCCAGAGAACATATTGTGAGAAAGCTTTCCAAGCTAAAAATTCTAAGAACTTTGCACCTTCAACTCTAATTTTTTTGTAAGATGTAGGAATCTATTTATAATTATGATCCATATTTTTTTCAAAAGAAATCGCATTTGCCGTTAAAATTCTCTAAGAATACCAATAATTACCCTAAACGGATTTAAATTACTTTTTTGACAGTTTTTATTTGGAAAATACTTCGAGGATCTTCAACTTTTCAGACTTATTTCACTTAGAATTGCTTGAACTATTTTTAAACTGATTAGTTCAAATAGTTAATCCGATTTTTTTACAACTGTTTTGATCCTAAAATAAACTGCACATTTAATTGATAAAAAGAAAGAAATGCCGGTTTGTTCTCGTCTGATTCAAACGTTCGTCTACATCCATTTTTACAATGATTTTCCATCTTCATTTTATTCTAATTATTTTCGACGTGAAATTTGGTAATACTCAGCTTGTTGATGATGATGGTAATTTATCGTCGTCGTCAACAGACATTTATGTAAACTTGCCTATAATATCCTGATGAAAGTGCCGCGAACAATATCCAGTTCTTCATTAGATAAAGAACGAAGCGAACTTAAATGATGGACGATAATTGTTTTGATCCCGTAATAATTGCAGAATGGATCCCGTATACCAAAATTTCGACAGAAATAGTAGAAATGATCCCGAATTTAGAAAAAATATTTTCGATAAAATTGATCCAGGAAAACTTTTTTCTTTCTGTGAACGGCAGAATTGATCCCGGTTGACGTGTAATGCGAATGTAAAGACGGCGTTGAGACTTAAACAATGGCAGTATGTAGTGGTCACATCTTTTATCATACTTTTTCCACTCACATCACTTTTGACTATTACTATCCCTATTAAACAAACTATGACTCGCAAGACTTGGCTAATAGTTTTTACGTGTGCAAACGAAACTGATTTATTAAATTTTATCAAAACTCAAGGTGTCTGCAAAAATCGAATCGAAGAAATCATTGGTGATTTATCGATTGCATATAAATGTTCAAAGTACCGAAATCTTCCAACAACAAGGTATTTCTTGGAAAAGGCTTGTTGAGTAGTTCACTCAAAGATACTTTATCGAAATTTTATTACGTTCTCAACGACAGAAAAATGTTTCTGCTTTTCAAATTTTTCGACTTTTTCTGGTTTTTTTCTCCCTTGGTTTTGAATAAGCATAACTGAAGTTATGTAAGTATTGAAGTTACATGCTACTATATTTATTATTGTAGCAAATAGAATAGTCTAACCATTAGTGCTATATGATTTATATTTGTGTTCGTGATCAGTAATTAAAAATTTAGTTTTTACAAATTAGCGATTAGAAATACATATCGAAAGCAGCAAAGTAAGGACTAGAGAAATTCATTTAAGTTATATAAATTCTATACGGTTGAGAGAGTTTAATAGTCGACAATCAGCTCGATCTGAAAAGCTGAATTAGTTATGTGATTTTATTAGAGCTGTGTCAGGGTGTTGATCATATTAAAAAGAATTGAAAGTTACTCCTTACAAAA